CTACAGCAAAGGGTAAGGTCCTCAGGGGCAAGGCCCTCACCTCCCAGATGCCCGATCTCCTCTTTTGAGGGATCATGTCCCCATCTCCTCCTTCCCTAAAGGGGCTTGGGAATAGATAGACACAGGCTAGGAAGGGGGCTGGTCCTCAGTCTGTAGACATGGTGCTTGGGGGTGAAAGACCATGGACAACAAGTGGGGTAACAGATGAGGTGTAAGTGGGATAAAGTGCAGGAGACCATTTGCCAGAATCCACACCTTTCAGATTCCAGATTGAATTAAAAAGAAAAAAAAAAAAAGCGGGGGAGGGGAAACCTAATCCACAAGCAGTACCTAACTCCCTTCCCCCACCAGGACTATGAAGGAAAAGACAGGTAACTTCACCAAGGCCATGGCTCCCTCATGCCTGGCCAAGGGAGCAGTTTGAAGGGGTGAGGAAAACCAAAATAAAATGTCAGATAAATTATAGAGGAGTCCAGCCAAGGGCCCAGCAAGAGCAGATCCCAGCCGGGCGAAGGGCTCGCATAGGCTCAAGGATCACCGCTGCTGCCACCACCAGTTGTTTCATTTCACCTTTTATTTAATTATTTATTTGTTTATTTTGAGGCAGGGTTTCACTATGTAGCCCCTGCTGGCCTGGAATTCACAGAGCTCTGCCTGCCTCTTCATCCCCAGTGCTGAGATGAAAGACATGTGCCCATTACACACAGCACTTGCCTCTTTTATTATTGATGCTACTAGAAATTTTTTGCGGAGACAGGGTTTCTCTGTCCTGGAACTCGCTCTGTAGACCAGTCTGGCCTCGAACTCACAGAGATCCGCCTGCCTCTGCCTCCTGAGTGCTAGGATTAAAGGGATGAGCCACCGCCACCCAGCTGGTACTGGAAAATTTAAAACCACACTTGTGGCTCCTGTTTTGTTTTCTCCAGAACAATGTGAATCTGGGGGAAGGGCCCAGGTGCTTTCCCGACTCTGAAGGGGGATGTTCCTTCCATCCCAGCTTTCCACCAGTGTGAAAACAACCTTCTGGATTCAGAGTGGAGGTGGGGGACATGAACGCAGATTGTAAGAGCTGTAAGGCCAGCATCCGGCAGGTCTCTGAGCTGACAAAGCAACGTGACAGGGCATCTCCTCACAAGATGCATCCCATTCCACGTCACTGGCCTCTATCCTCTCCTCCCCATCAGCTTCCTGCCCTCCTAGCTGCTGGAACTTTTGTCTGGTTCCTGTGACAGGTGTCAAGCAGGGCAGCTTCTCTCTGGTGCTCACAAATGAATTCCCAATGTCCAACAAGCTAACCCAAACCCACTGTCTTCCCCTACTTGGATTCTCAACACTGCTAGACGATGGTGGTCTGTCTTTCTCCCCAGGCCTTGCTTCCTGCTGTTCCTCAGGTCAGAGAAACCTCTCCCAAACAAAATTCCATTGTCTTTCAGAGCTCAGCCTAAGACCCCCTTCTATAGGCTTCTGCCCTTAATCTTAACGCATCAGCTCTGGACCCCCCCCCCAAAAAAAAGACAGGGTTTGGGTTCCTCTGCTCTTTCCCTGCACGGTGTGGAGCTCTGAGCTGGTCCTCCTCAGACCCCCCACCATTATTAAACCTTTGTACATTTCTGATGACGCTTCTCTCTCAAAGGGACTTTAAAGTAGTGTTTGCTGAACACCTGATCCCTAAGGACAGGGGAGAGGTTAGCAATAGCCAGTCCTTTAGGTCACTCTGCACCTCTTGAAAGGTTCCGTTACCCCCACATGTTCAGGGCCCTTCTCTTCTGCTTCCACCAACCCCCAGTCACACCCACCCAGGGTCCTTGACAAGGCCGTACACAAACACACATACACACACACACACACACACACACACACACACACGGGATTCTGACGGCTCCCCCATTCCCAAAGCCCAGAAGCTCTGGTCCCCAAAGCTAGTGTCATCCACCTAGGCTGCTGATTCCTGCCAGTGGGGGACCCTCCCAAATCTGACCGTCTTCTACTGTGGTCTTCTTCCTTCGCTTTTGCTCCAGAACACCCCAGGCACCTGGAAAGAGACAGCCTCTCTATGTTGTCCACACTAGTGGGGACACTGAGTTCTTTCTGCCTCTTCCAATACTAACTGCCCCCTCCCGGCTGATTCTTCTCAGCCCCCGGGGGCGCCCCGCCCCCTCCCCTCGCAGGAATCTTACTCTGGGGCTGTGAAGTTCGGGGTATTTTTAGGCCGGCGATAAATAATTCATAAGGAACGTGGCATCTGGCTGCCCCTGCGGGAGGAGGGGGCGCGAGCACCGAAGGGCCACCATCACTCGCCGCTCAAGGACACTCGCGTTGCGGCGGCAGTGGCGGGTGACTCTGGGCGCGGGGACCCGCGCCACGCCTCCTGGCGGCCAAATTGAGCACCACGCACTCCTCGCCCCCAACCTGGCCACTGCCCCTTGAACTCTCTCCCCCAACCCAGCCCTAGCTCTAAGCCCCAAGTCCTATGCCCCCAGCCCACTGACTCAAGCTTGGTCTGGATCTCAAGCTCTTGGGCAGGGGATAGCCAGGTTAGCCTGGCAGACCGGCCTGTGGGGTCAGGACCCAGCCCAGATGGCCCTCCAGAGAGAACCCCCAGGCGTTCCGTTTCCTACGGACCTGTTCCTTTTACGTTTTATTCTTAACAAGTTTAGAAACTAGCTCAGAGGCAGGAACTGGACCTGCTCCTAAAAGCCAGTGGGAACCGCATATTCAAATATACCGTGCCCGCCCCCCCCCCTCGCAAATTTTCTTGTAGCTGGAGGAAAGGGGGTTGTTGATGGGGCCAGGACTAGGCCACCATCTGAAGACTGAGGGTGCTATACCAGATGTCCCATTGGGAAGGGAGGGCTGGGACACGGAGTAAGCAAATGGGGTCAGCTTCCCCAGCAGGCATTTCTGCCGCTTGCCCAACAGGACCTTTGAAGGTTCGCCAAACACGCCCTTGGGAGATTTGCAGCCTGCTAGGTGGCTTGGCCTTTGGCAGTTCTCCCCCAGCCCGCCTAGGCCAAGCACAAATCACCTTCCAAGCTGGAGACTAAGGTTTCTCCTCCCAGCCTCTCCTCCCAGCCGTCGGGGATCCTTGTAGAAGCCCCAGGAGACTTCCAGCCTCCAACTGGTGCTTGCAGGGCCCAGGACACCAGGACACAGGCTCTCCCGTGGCCTTTTCTGCCCACCCTCCTTTTGGAGCCCTCAGAACCTGGGGGGCATCAGGGCGCGGGGATCAGCATTCGGGCAAATCCTGTTAACCCCAGAAACCCACTGATCTCGGAGGTCAGAGGGTGGAGTGTTAGGAGCTCCCAGGGAAGGGGCAGGAGGAACGTGGGAAGCAGAGGGCTTGGAGAACTTACCCTAGTGAGGGGTTCGGTGGATGGCAGATGCGCGCAGCAGGTGCCCAACAGGAACCAGCTCGGCAACTGCCACAGCCCCCTATCTGCCTGCTCTCCAAGCTGTGTCCTTTCCAGCTCCCCGCGTTCTGCTCGTACCCAGCCTCGGTCCTAGGTCCTGGTCCCTAACTGGTTTCTTGCCTCAGCGGCTTCCACCCGCAACAGTTGGACTCGGCAATCCAGATTCCCGCGTCCGGGGACTGTCCCCAGCCTGGCCGGGCCACCGCGACAGGAGAAGGAAAGGAGACTCCACGACCCTAGGACAAACGACTTGGACTCTACGCCCGCCCGTGTCCTTCCCTCGCGCCCGCGGCTAGTCTGTCTATCTCCCAAACCTGTCTCTCCTCGCTTCCTCTGCGCTCGAGTCCACAACACCGGTCTGGCTCTCGAGGGTACTGGTCCCCGGGGCCCCTGACTCCCAGAACTGGCCGGACCGGACAGTCGCGGGCGTCTCGTTTCTTTCTCCACCATCCTTGCCCGCGCGGCGCCAGAGCCCCTTAAGTTGCCTGCGAAGTTGGCGCCCCACACTTGCCAGCCCCCCCGGCCCCACTCACCCGGGGAAGGGGCGCTGCACCTACACCCAGAGCCCGTTGCCGCCTCCCGTGTGATGCTCGTCCCGGCGTCAGCAGCCCCGGCGAGCTGGCACGTTGGCCGTGCGCTCGGCGGGCACCGGAGCCCGGCGCGGCGGGACCAGTGAGGTTGGCGCGGCCTGGATGCCGCCCGCCCCCGCGCCCGGCCCCCGCGGCGGGGCTGTGTCCCGGGCTGCGCAAAGGCGCGCCTCCGGCTCTCGGGGCTCACCAGCCGACTGTGATGGAGCTTGTCACCGGTCGCCTCCGCCCCGCCCTGGCCCGCCCCAGCCGGCCACCGGGCGCCCCCCAGGCCCTTCTAGGTCCCTCCCTGCCAGCCTGTGCTCCCAGCTGTCCCCCTCTCCTCTCTCCTGCTCAGGGACCCTGTCCCCAGACCCGACGCTGAGAGGCAAGGGCAGCCTCCAGGGGACAGAGGGGGAAACACCAGCTTGCCGGAAACCCTGGGTTTGAGCCCTTAGTTCCCTAGCTGTGTGACCTTGGGCCAGTTCATTTCGAGGCTCCTTCAGTTTATAAAGTTAAGGCCAGTATCTTGCTGCCACAAGAGACTGTAAGCTGCCATAGGCTGGGGTAGGTTTTGAAAAGGCTTCTGGGTTTGTTGGGAAGCTTGAAAATGGAAAGGTATAGACCAAGAAGTGGAGACTGGAGGGCTGGGCCAAGCCTGCCAGCAATCGGGAGAGACCAGAGCATACCGGGGACAAGCTGCTGCCCAGGGCCCTCCGTCCTCCCTTCTTTCTCCTGCCACTGTTTCCCTGTCCTAGGGGTACCGGGCAGCGAGGCCAACAGCGCAGACAAGTAAGGGACTTATCACCAGTGACTGAAGTGTGAACTGAAGGCTACAGCCTATGAGAATAGGCTGGAAGGGGAGGGTAAGTGATTGCCAGGCCTGACTGCCAAGGCCCCTGGTCCCTGAGAGGCTCTTGAGCAAGGTTCTGTTTCCTTAGTCCCGTCTGGCAGCCACAGACAAACAGGCCAGAAAGTGACTCCCTCCCACCCTCCCCCCAAAAACGTAGTCATCAACCATGGCTCTTTGGTACAGCTGTTTTATTTCCACTGTGCCCCCATTCTAGGAGCCCTCCAATTCACCAGGAAGGAAGCGGAAGGGGGTAGAGTCAGCCTGTATGTCCATCAGTCCCTAACTTAGGGTTCCCTCGGTGGCCTAGACCCACACTGGCAACATCAGCTTGCAGAGGCAGAGTTCAGCCGTCCCTGGAAGGGCTGCAGCTTGGCCTCGAAGCCAGGGCAGTTGGCACTGTATCTGGGAGGAGAGTCTAACTCCAACTGCTTCAGGCCCCTTATCCTTGCACAAGGCTCTTTTTCTTCGTGGCAGGGGCTGGGGTCCAGACTCAGTGCCCCAGCAGCTGCAGCATCTCCCTCGGATCCACCAGCTTCTCCCTCGGCTTCCCAGAGCCCTGGCCTCGACATACCTCCTCAGCATCCAGCTTCTCCCAGTCTGAGAAAGAGACTGGCCGGACCCCTAAGGCAGATAAAAAGACAAACTAAGGCTTCTCAAGACCCTCCTCCCAAGGGGTAAACTTTCAGAGATAAGCCGCCCTCACCCCTCCCCACTCCCAGACCTTAACATAAGACTCAGACCTCGATTGCTGAGCAAGGCTTGAATGGCTGTATAGCCAGGTCTGGGGCCAGAGGGCAGCAGCCCCGCATTCAGGTCCTGCAACAGCACCTGGCTGGTGAGGAAGCTGTCTGTCATGGTCGTGGTGATAACACCTGTGGGTCCCCTCTTCACCCAGCCACTGCAGTAGAGGCCTGAGGACAAGAGACCGCCTAGCAATTCTGCATCCCAACCGACACACACACATACACATTCCCCCATGTCTCTCATCTACAGACTGGGCCAAATATAGCCACTGGTTCACAATGGGAGAGAGAGAGAGAGAGAGAGAGAGAGAGAGAGAGAGAGAGAGAGAGAGAGAGAGAGAGAGGTTTTTCAAGACAGGGTTTCTCTGTGTAGCCCTGGCTATCCTGGAACTCACTCTGTAGACCAGACTGGCCTCAAACCCAAAGATCCACCTGCCTCTGCCTCCCAAATTCTGGGATTAAAGGTGTGCACCATTATGTTTGACCCACGATAGACTCTTGTTTTCCCAAAGCATCCTCCCTTCCGCAGTCTCCAGAGGATGAGATGCTCGCTGGGGACATGAGCTGAGACTTGCTCATCACAATTCAGCAGGCCCTTAGAAATATTTACTGAGCCAGTGAACAACAAGTTGGGCACGTGGGTCAGAAGAGAGAAGCGCCCAAGGACAGGGGCTGTCTCCTGCCAGTGTCTGCCCTGGCCCACGGCAGGAGGAGGGAGGGCTATGTTCTGGAATGGGGCCTGTCTTAAGACACATTCCATCACTGTAGGGTGAGTGGTTTTGGGATACCAGCCTTCCAGCCTCCCATCGTAGTTAGATGCCCAGCCTTCCACTGTAGTTAGATGCCCAGCCTCCCATCACAGTTAGATGCCCAGCCTCCCATCACAGTTGGATGCCCAGTCCCCCATCATAGTTAGATGCCCAGCCTCCCAGCCTCCATCACAGTTGGATGCCCAGCCTCCCAGCCTCCCATCACAGTTGGATGCCCAGTCTCCCATTGTAGTTAGTTGGATGCTCAGCCTCCCAGCCTCCCATCACAGTTAGATGCCCAGTCGTCTCATATCCTCCTCTCACCTGGTACATTCACAACCCGGCCTTCTATGTTGGGAATGACTCCAAGCTTGGGGTCAAAGGGCACACTGGGGTCAATGGGGCGGCTCTTATACCCAACGCTGCTCAGCACCAGTCCACAAGGGAGGTCCTCCACTTCTCCCGTGGGCACCGCCCGAGTGGACTCACCAACACCCTGTTGTTGAGAATGTGGGTAACACCAGGTTGGGATGGGGGAAGCCTAAGAAAGGGGAGTTTGGGTAACATGGGACTCACCTCCAGTCTGGTGACTGCCAGGCGGATGCCTGCTACCTGTTGCCCATCTGGTGTGGGCAGCACCTGCTGGGGGCTTCGGAAAAACCTGAGGCCCCAGGCCCGGGAGGCCAGTGCCTGACGGGCAGCTTCTTCCACCCCTGGCTTCTCTGTGGCTGTCCGAAGCAGCAGCTCTGTCAGCCGTCTCCTTGGACGGGGGACATCTGTCAGCAACATGGAACACTTCAGGGCTGTCCCTGCTGGTCACCTTCCCCAAGCCTGTGAGCTAGAGGGCTAGACTTGGCCCCTCACCCTTAATTCTGTCCTGGAGGCCCAAGAAATCCGAAGAATCCAAAATGGGCCGGGTTCCTGGCAACTGAATCATCTCTCGAAGTTCCTTGAGGGTGGGTGAGGGGCAAGGGAAGAAGTCAGGTCCAGACCTTGGAGTAATCCTGAACCCACCAGAGTTACTGTCAGCAGCGTGGGAAAAGACCAACAGACCTGGGGCCCTGCCCACCCTCCTGTTCATCCAGGGAAGCAGCTACTCCCTCCCAGGGCTGTGTGGCAACCCCAACACACACAAGTGGAAGGAAACCTCCTCTTGGGACCCTGGCGCCTCCAGTACCTTAATGGTGAAGGCCACTTGCAGGGGTCCACGCCGGCCAACTATCCACACAGTCTTCACCCGGCTCTGCCTCAGGACCCCCATAGCAGCTTCTGTGATGTCTGTTTTCTGGCACAAAAATGAGGCTTTTAGGGCCAAGCACCATGGACCATGAGACAGAGACACACGGATCTCTGTGAGTTCAAGGCCAGCCTGACCCACACAGTAGTTCCAAGCCAGCCAAGGCTACATAATGAGACCTTGACTCAAAAAGGGGGGGGGGGGCTTGACTTGGGGAAACGCTGGCCAGTTGGTATTGTTCCCTTTCCAATCCAGAAAAAGTCAAGGCCCAAAAACTATACCACTACTCCCCCTGGTGGCCACACAGAGCATTGACGCCAACTCTGCAAATGGCTTCTATGCAACAGGATTCCCACTGATTCTTCTACCCACTCAAAATCGATAACATGTCCAGAACAGGACAAGGGACTTAAGGGGGCAAGGGCGGTTTATGTGAGTCAAACAGGCTAGTTCAGAAACCCACAGAGTTTTCTTTTCGTGGGGAGACAGATAATAGAATCTCATCACAGAATGTAAACCTGTAGTGAGGCAAGGTTAGGGATGAGGCCATATTACAGAAGAAACACCTAATAGGAAGCCTGGAAGACCTCTTCACAGAAGGAACAGGAGAGCCAAGACTGGAAAGGGGGAGGAATGTTAGCTCTGAACCAGCAGGAGGTGGGTCCAGATGTTCCGAACAGGGAGAACGTGTGTGGAAGGCCCAGCAGCACACTGGAGTGTGAGGGCATCCGCCTGGCTCCTGGAGAGAGGCTGGGTGTGTGGAGGGACGACACCTGAACCCCGCCGGCAGGAGCAGCCTTTGCTCCCTGTGCTCCCACCTCCGCCCCTCCAGCCGCTGCCTGCCCCTCACCTCCAGGTGCTGAGGTGGGGTCAGCAGGATCCGGGCCACATCCAGAGCCACATTCCCCTGTCCCAGAATCACAGCTGTGTCACAGTTCAGATCCGGTGCCAGCTGGAGGAGAAAGGTCTTAATGGGGTGTCCCTGTCCCCAGCTCCAGTCAGGCTATCTCATCTGCAGACGCCTTAGGCCAGGTCCAGCTGTGCCCTCAGGCTGCCCTCCCCTGAGGCAGTCCACTCTATGCCGCTTCCCCTCCCTCAGCCCCACAGGTCTCCACGGCTGACCTGCCTCAGTCATCCATGGCTCACAGCTCCTCAGCTCGCTCCTCCCTGCCTTGACCTCAAACTCAACTAACACCCCAGGGATGTTCCTGACTCCAGCCAGAAGCAGCAAGGGTGCTCCCCAAACTCACAGCCTGGTTCTCAGGAAGACCATTGTACCAGCCCACAAAGGCCCGGGCTGAGACCACGCCAGGCAGCTCCTCACCAGGAATGTCCAGGGTCTGGTGGTCCTCTGCTCCGTAACTCTGAGGAAAGATGCGCACCCAGGCCCGAGGCCTCAGTACCAACCCCCCCCCCCCCGTCCCGTCTCGTCTCCCATCAGACCCTCCCCTCACCCCCACCACACAGACACTCACCAGCACCACCGCGTGGTAGGCTTCCTGGAGCTCTGGCACCGACACGTCCCTGCCCACCTCCACATTGCCCCGGAAAGAACAGCGGTCCGAGCGGGCTGTCTGTGTAAACGTGTTGATGACATTCTGCCAGGCGGCATGGCGAGAGGAACATTAGAAGACACGACAGCTCCTGGGGGCACGTCCCACCACCACCCCATGACCCGCAGGATGGAGCCGAGGGTCATTCTGCTGCTCCAGGGAGCCTCTTGGTCCTCCTCATTTTTACTGTTTCCAACACCACCCCCCACTCTGAAAGACACCCACCTTGACTTCAGGGTGGTCAGGTGCCACACCAAAGCGTACCAGGCCAAAGGGCACGAGCTGCTTCTCGTAGATGTCAACATGGGCCCGGGTATGGTGCTGGGAGAAAATCACAACTGGTGGGTTCTAGAGTGAGGCTGGGGTCCCACAGGGCCTCCCTTCCCCACACAGAGCAAGAAAACTCAGCTCAGATGACCGAGGAGACGGGCTCCCACCATTCACAAGCAGACAGAAGGCGCTGGCTCTCCTTCCGCCCAGACAAGGGCTCCGGAGGAGCATAAGCAGTGAAACAAGCTGAGGTCAGATTCAAGGACGTCCAACAGAGAATGTGAGAAGCCGGAAGTGAGTAACATGGCTTAATCCTCGTGTCAGGTGGAGACCAGCACCTTCTAGAAATGCTGGTCATGTGACCTGAGACGCCATCTTTGAGAACCTGCCTTAGCTCAATTTCGGAAATGATGCCATTGGGACAGGGATCAGCAAGGCACAGAGTCGGGGCACAGCTGGGGCATGTGGGACAGAGGGAGTGGCAGGGGGCCTACTCTCAGCTTCCAGCTGCCCCGTGCAGCCTGTCCTCCCAGGGCACTTCGCAAGGTGAAGGGACGGTATGAGATTGGAATTGACCACACAAGCTTGGTGTGGCTCTGTTGCCACCAACAGCATGGGCCTGGTCGGGCCCTGGGGAAGGACAGTGACAGAGTTGGGGAATTGAGGTGACACGCCCTGCACCCTTCCCTATCCCACCCAGTTCAAAAGGACTCAAGGCAGTTGAGTTCCTGCCTACACACCTGCCAGCCTTTGCCCAAATTCTGCTCCCCTCTATTCCACCATCCACCCTAAATCCAGCCTTCTAGCCCAGCTGCCTGTTTTATCCTTGGCCAGCCCAGAGGTGATCTCCCAAATCAGCTCTCTCAAACTCCATGGAATCTGAACCCACAAGAGTTCAGGCCATGAAGTCAACAGCCAGAGCCAGGCCCAGCTCCGAAGCTAACTGGCTGTCACAGGGAAAGCTCCAGCACACTTCTGTGCAGTAGAATGTCCCGTCCCTCTGGGCCACACTCAAGGCTGAGTGGGTCAGGGCTCTCAGCCCGTGCTCCCCCAGTGGGAGGACACAATGGACTCATTCGGGATCATTAAAACTCTGACTGTCCCTGGAACACGTCATTTCTGGTTCAAACACCTCCCCATGCTTCTCTCGTTGCCATAGGGCAAAGTTGAAACTGCTGGGCCTGCTGGGCATCCCTGACACAACCTGACCTCACTGTCTCCAGCTTCCACTCCACCCTGCTACAAAGGGAGTCTTCCTTCCGGGCACAAGGTTCTTCCCCAGCCCACCTCACAGTAGCCCCTAATCTCACACACAAAGCCATCTTTCATGAAACCTCTCTCCTCCTGCCAACTGCTACTTCTCTGGCCCTTTTCCTAAAAAGGACAGGTTCTGGGGCACTTCTGGTCTGGGGTCCTCTGTTCTTCATGGACATACACTCAGGATGTCCTAGAGACGTCTTACCCACTGCCTCCTGTGACTTCCAATCTTGTAGCTTTCTCTGTCACAGCCTCTCTATCTCCCCTCCCCGGTCTTACCCATCTCTTTACCTCATCCTGAGATCTCAGAACCAGACATTGTTTGTGCCCTACCCTTTCCCCTCTACTTCAGTGTCCATCTCAGCCCCTGGAGTTCCCCTTTCACCTTGCCCTATCAGTTCCCCATCGTTACCTCCACTCTCCTGCTCCTGGGCAAACAGTTTTACTTAAGTCTCCCCTTCAGGGAGACTATTCCAAACGGAAAAGGGGCCAGGGTGCAGCGCACTGGGAGAATTCTTATCTCTCATTCACAAGGCCCTGTGTTCAACCCCCAAGGAAGGGTTCCTTCTTTTTCCTTTCTTAAATATATTTTTATAAATATAAACATATATTTTATATATATTTTATAAATTAGGTGTATGTGGGGGGAGGGGTATAAGCACATAAGTACAGGTGCCTGAAGGGACAGAAGACGGGCTTGGAGCCTCTGGAGTTACTGGTGGCTGAGCCACCTGACATGGGTTCTGGGAGCCAAACTCAGAACCTCTGCTTAAGATGCTTGAGTAAAGCAGTTTCCCGCGTCTGTGGACGCCAGGATCCCCCACCCCTCCCCAGGGTGCTTTCACCAGTTTCCCGTGTCTGTGGATACTAGGATCCCCCACTCCCCTAGGGGGGGGGTCTTAAAATTGCTGATTCTGAAGGTCCCAGTCATAGAGTTTGACTAAATCTGTGCTGGGCCCAGAAATGCTCGTTTAAACAAGACCTCTCCAGCAGGGAATATAGAGAATGCTCAAAGAAAGCCACTCAAGTCTACAACGTGGTTGGTCTGTGGTCCACGGTTTCTAGGAACTTTGTGACCTGGGGTCCAGCTGCCTCCTTAGCCCTAGCTCTCACCTCGTCACCCCTCAGACACCCACTGACCTTCTGGAAAAGGCTCTGAAATGATGCCAAAGGGACATTTCCTTCCTCTGGCCTTTGTCCACAGAAGTCCCCACGCCTGAGGCAACTCCTGCTCTTCTGTGCTCACGTCCTCCACAAAATGCAGCTCAGACTAGGTTAGGGGTCGCCTAGCTTAAGCTTGAAAATATCTTGCAAACCAGCCACCTCACACTAGAATGTCAGGTCAAGGAGCACAGGAAAATACATCCACACGCCTATAGGTCAAGATCTGGCCTGCTGAAAAGACCCTAGGAACCCCGCCTTCTAGGTTTATTCCCTCACCCTCAGCTAACACAGCCAGTGCCCCTTACAAGAAACTCTTCCAGATACCAACCATACCTCTCACCTACCCTCCCTGCCACCCCGACCCTAAAAACCCATGAGTCTCCATCCCAGAGCCCAGGCTGTTCTCCATCAGTGGCTGAGTCTCCATCCTAGAGCCCAGGCTGTCCTCCATCAGTGGCCTTGCATTCCAAGCTGACTCCTCCCATCAGGGAGCTCACCAAAGCCCACACGGTCTTCAGTGCATCTCACATGTACATTCTAGAGAGCAACTTCTGGCCACGCTACCCTGCATGCGTCATGGTAAGCATCTACAGAGTCATGTATAGGTCACTTCTCAGCAGAGGTCTCCAAGAGACCTTCCTAGTGTCAGCCCTGGGTAAACCAGGCCAGCGGGTCATGCTACCTCACAAGTATCTCTATGTATTATCAATATAATCGCTCTGTCTCCTGTCTTGTAGATATTACAACCCCTCTAAAGCTCAGACACTGTCTCTGCTCAGGCAATCCTAGTATCCCCTACTCTTTTTTTTTTAAGAATACTTTTATTATTTTTAGTTGTGTGTGTGCACGCGCACATGCATAAAGGTGCAAGCAGAGGCCAGAAGAGGACATCAGATCCCCTGGAGCTGGAGTTGTGAGCCGCTATGTGGGTGCTGGGATCCCAACTCCCATCCTCTGTGGGACAACCACGGAGTCTTCTCTCCGGCCCCTCCCCCCTCCTCTTTTGGCTGAAGGTCTGACAGACCTTGGAGCCCTGTCTGACAAGATTAATATTGAAAGCTTTGAGACCTTGGCCTTTAACGGGAGAAAATGGGCACGGGGGTGGGGGGAAAGCTGGGGCTGTGGTGAGGGTAGCAAATACTTAGGACGAGATAGCCTTGAGAAGTAGAATGCTGGAGAAATGCAGAAGAAGATAAGGGAGGATAAGGCCACCCCACAAGACTGAAGAAAACAAAACAAAATCTTCTCTGCTTGGTGAAGCAGTCAGCACTGCCACTAACCACCAACCATGGGACAAACACATTTCTCTCACAGCTGAGAACCTAGGATGGGAACCTCAGATACAGGGGTGGAGTCAGGTAGAAAGGACACAGCTTAGATGAGCTGGAAATTTAGTTTTTCCTTATCCCAGGCAAACCAAAGGGCTGGAGCCTACCCACAGAACTGGGGCAAGGAGTGAATGGTGATAAAGGAGCCCAGAGAGAGAGCTTACCTTTAACAGGTGTTGGGCGGTGTAGAAGCCAGCTGGGCCACTGCCAACCACGCAGACCTGAGGGGTCTTCTCCTGTGTGGAGAACTGCCGGCAGAAGCCTGGGGCTGGGCAGAGGAGGCGACAGCAAGGTTAAACTAACACGCTCTAACCACCACACCAATTCTGTCCAATAGCAGCTTGCCCCTCACCTGCATCTTCCTCTTTCTGTTCCTCAAAGCTTCACCACTTCATCTGAATGCCAGGGGCTGTCTTTATCCAGAACCCCACACCTCACCTATGAGCACGCTAGCCTGCGCTAGCCTACGCCAGACCCCCTTGGCCCTGAAATCTGTCCTACACAGCACTTCATTTTTCTTGTGGGGCTCCCTGTATGAGTCCACGTCTTCATATCTCCATCACGTCTCTATCTCGTTTTTTCCTATCCTTTCTTTTTCTGCAGAACTCCATCGCTCATATCCTCACTTCCCCGTCACGCCCCATTCACCTCGTATCACACATGCTGACCTCATGATCTAGCCTTTTCGTCTTTAGTGACCCGTGTTTTATCCAGGACGCCTCCCACCTCATCCCACAGACTCCTCTGTACACCACTCCCACTTCTCCCGCAAGAACACCTTCAGCTTCGCCCCTCGGACCCCTGCTCTTGATCACAGGCCTCCCCTCGCCCTGGTGCAGCCCCAAGAGCCCTGCTCCTACTCGGGATGCTCCTGGAAGGAGGCGACCGGACCCCAGGCCACGCAGAACAATGCCACCAGCGCCAGCAGCGCAGAGCCATGGCTGAGAACGGCAACCGAAAGGCTCGCAGGGACTCCAAGCGCTGAGCGCCGGTCTACAACCCGCCGGAGGCGGTCCTCTGGGCCCGCCCATCACTGTGGCCCCGCCCCAAACCTCGCCTCCAGCACGCTCGGAAAGCTCAACTTCGAGACTCCACTTCGAACTCCGATAGAGCCCCGCCCCCAAAGAGAACCACGCCCCCAGCTCCCGAAGCCACGCCCCCAAAGCGCCCGAACTTCAAAACTTAACCCATTTCTCCCCAGTCTTCCTTGTCGCTGCAGATACCGGAAGTCTAGGATTTAAAGGAAAGCGAATCCTCAACGCCGTTTCAGTTGCTTTTGGAAAAGAGAGCCAATTAGAAAGGAGCTTACTTTACGTAAAACTTGTCGCTCGCTGATGACGCAATATTCTGCTGCCGTTGCCTTTTGATAGGGTGTCTTCCGTCTTGAGTGATTTTTGTCCCAGCCAATCAGGAGCCGAGAATCCGTAAGTCTCTGTTATCCTGGTTCTAACCCCTTACTTTTAAGTCAGGTGTTGAACTGGTGTGGCCCTGTTCGTGTCAGACCATGGAAAATATTAACCTTCAACCCCGTCCAGCAGCACAGGGATCGGGGTGAGACAGTACCTTGGGTGCAGAATTTAAGGGGGCACCCAAAACTCAGTAATGAGGGTAAATCGTGCATTTTTTTTTTTTAAAAGACAGGATTTCGCTGTGTAATAGGCCGGCCTGGCTGTGCTGGAATTCACTCTGTAGACCAGGCTGGCCACGAACTCACATAGATCCGCCTGCTTCTGCCTCCCGAGTGCTGGGATTCATGCACATTCTAATTAATGTTTTAAAAGAAGAGTGATCTATTTTGAAGTTTTTATTACACTTAGTTATTTTATTACATTACTTATGAGGGCCGGTGTACACGTGCCACAGCGCTCACATGGTATGTCATCATTGGACAGCTTGCAGGAATTGGTTCTCGCCTTCCACTATATGAGTTTTTGGGTATTGAACTCATGTCTGGTCCCGGGGCCAAACTTCTTTACCCTCTTGCTGACCCACAGATATTTTCTACACAAGGACAGGAGCTAAGGATGGTAAAGTGTCTACTCAATGTACACAAGACCGTGGTTTCAACCGCAACAACAAAACTATAATTAAAATAAGGGCAGAATTCATCGTCACCTTTAACCAAATAAGCCTGTACTTCCCTAAAGTTCTTCCCCTTCTTGGAAGACTAACCTATTCTGTCATCCCCACAGCCTCTAACTTTTGTTTGTGTATTTTTGTTGAAGATTGAACCCAGGGACTTATGCAATTGCTCTTTTAACTGCACCCCTTGCTCCTGGCTTAATTGTCTATTTCATAAGTAAGCAATGAGGCTAGTCTGCGCTGCAGAGTGATGCCTGGTCTCACAAAACAACGTGTTCCTTCATTTGTGAAAGGTCACTAGCAGTGGGAATGCCATCATGCTAGTTAAAAAACTGGCTGGTCCGGCCTGACTGTAATCGGGATTTCTTGGGCAAGATAAATGGCTAGATTTCAATTTGGTGAACTTCATTGTGAGTAACTCCATTTTGATTTTTATTATGGTCTGCTGGAGCCTTGTGCAGGATCTTAATCTAGAACAGAAGCTTCCTCTGTTTTATATTTCATACTGTTACACTATTTTAAGATTATTTTTAGCCAGGCGGTGGAGCGCACACCTTTAATCCCAGCACTGGGAGGCAGAGGCAAATGGATCTCTGTGTTTGAGGCCAGCAGCCTGGTTTACAGAATGAGTTCCAAGACAGCCAAGGATACACAGAGAAACCCTGTCTTGAGAAAATATATATTCCCAGAGCATCACACAGTGCCTAGCAACCAATGGGTATTCCTGCAGGGTTATTTTTTCTGGTTATTTATTTATTTATTTAATGTATGAGTGCTCTAATTGCATGTGCATCTTTATGCCAGAAGAGGGCATCAGATTCCCACTATAGCTGGTTGTGAGCCACCGTGTGATTTCTGGGAATTGAACTCAGGACCTCTGGAAGAGCAGCCAGTTCTCTTTAACTGTTGAGCCATCTGTTTAGCCCCCCCCCCCCCCCCCCCGCTTTCTTCTTTTAGATAGAATCTCAGGTAGCCCATGCTAGCCTTGACTTGTATGGCTGAGGATGACCTTGAACTCCTGATCCTCCAGCCTCTACCTGTGCTGGGAATTACTGGATTACTGGCACGCGCCACCAGATCTGGCCTATGCAGTGCTGGGGGCTGACTCCAGAGTCTACTGCATGCTAGGCAAGCTCTCTACCCATTGAGCCTCAGCCTCAGTCCCTAAAGAATTTATTTTAATGATAAAAATCACCAATTGTTCTGGCTTGTAGAAGAAAGAGATAGAAATCCAGGCCCAAACACCCAGAATCTCTACAGGGCTTCCCATTCCGAAGCAGAAGCTCAAAAAGTCAATAGCATAGATTCTGGAGTCACTGAGTTCAAATCCCGAGTCTGAATTTAACAGTCATGATATGGAGAGGTTTCATCTTGACTTCTTTTGTTCTCCTTTTCTAACATGAGAAAAGAATTATTCTAACCTGTAAAGATTAAAATTAGATGCAGATAAAAAAAAAAACCATCTAGCCTGGTCTGGTGGAGCACGCCTTTAACCCCAGGACTAAAGATAGAGCAGTGGTTCTCAACCTGTGGGTCAGGACTTTTGGGAGTTGAACAACCCTTTCACAGGGTTTGAATACATCCTGCAATCGGACGTTTACATAACAATTCATAAAAGTAGCAAAACCACAGTTAGGAAGTGACAGCGAAAATAGCTTTATGATTGGGGGGGTCCCCACGACATGAGGGACACAGCATTAGAAAAGTTTAAAACCGCTGATGTAGAGGCAGGTGGAGTTCTGAGTTCAAGGCAAGTTCCAGACCAGCCAGGGCTATATAATGAGACCCTGTCTTAAGAAAACAAAACAACAAAGACAAAAGAAAAGAAACCATCTGTATGTGGTGAGCAGACATCAGCTATAATCGTGGTCACCAGTGTCATGCCTTCCCATATACTGCTCTATATGAGACCACGGGAGGCTCCCGAGCCCTGCGGGTTCTTTGTGCGTTCCCGATCACTTTTCTTAGTTCTGTATCCCCAGCCCACATCCTTAGAGTAACAGACAATCACATTCCGGCGAAACTAAGTGACTTGCTCTTACTGTACCCATAGAATAGTCAGGTCTGTCACCAGGGCCGCTAGCTGCTGTCCTGGAATGTACCCCGTTCAGGCTCAGATCAATAACAATGAGTCACCAGTCATATATTTGGGTAGTTTTAATTATTAGCTTTCGGTATGCCGCCAGGACCCTTTTCTGACATTGCTTTTTTCATAGGAAGAATTTGCAGTTTGATGAATCATACTCTCATACCTTAGATCTCCTCCTGAACTGCTAATGCATTTCAAGTGAGCAGCCATGATACAGAGCAGGGCAGGAGGTGGGGGCGGCTGCCACGCCCACACCATCCAAGAGGTGTGGAGCCAAAACTGCTGTTTGTGAGCCTCCCAGCAGGGAGCACACACACACTCAAAACACACACTCAAAACAACACACTACACACTCAAAACATACACACCCGCGCACACACACTCAAAACACACTACACACTCTAAACATATACACTAACACACACACTTACACACTCAAAACACACACTAACACACTCAAAATACACACAATCAAAAGGAAGAGTGAAGGGCATGTAAGAAAGGACCTCTGAGCAGATACGGAGGCAGAGAAGCACCTAGGGGCCAGCAGCAGCTAGAAATCAATGCCAGACCAGGCCCTGCCCAGAAGGAGCCCAAAGGAGAGGCTGCCCAAGAGCCATGGCTGGAGGAAAGGGTCCTGGGAGAAGCTGTGGTCTCTGCTGGAGGACGGCCAGGTAAAGGAAGCAGGAAAATGGTGTCCATTCCAGTGACAGCTACATCTGCCCAGGCCACTTCAGGCCCCAGAGGTGGGCTCAGCCAGGCTGGTGTTCCCAGCTGCCTGCCTGTCCCATGGGTTCCCATCAAAGGGTAGTCTACCCTCCCTCCAATGATTTAACTGAAGTTATACACTCAGGAGAATGATTGTATGTTCTTAATCGGGGACAGTTTTGCCATTCAGGAGACATTTGGCTGTATCAGCAGACAGTTTTGATTGTCGTGGTCTGGGCTCCCAACATCTAGTCAGTAGAAGCCAGGGGTGCACACAGTGCTTATCACAGCCTGCCAAGAACCAGCCAGATGTCAGTAGGGCTGAGGTGTGAACTAACTGCCCTGGCCTCCTGGTGCAGGTCTAACCTCGTCACTCCTCCTCCAGTCTCCCCTGGGCCCTTCTGTGAACCCTCTGCTCCATCCTGGGCTGGGGCAGTTCCCAGCCTCTATCTGTTGTCCGTCGGGCTGGCTCTCGGCGATGTCCCCCAGCTTGGCTTCCTCCTAGGTCTGGCAACAGCGGCTCCCACCCAGGTTGCAAACCTCCCTCCCACAGCCAAGCCTAGCCTTGTCCTCAACTCTCCTGTTCCATCCCACCCGCCTCTCTTTGATTACCCCCCTCTGCCCTCCTGGCCCAATACCAGTTCACCTCCCCCATCCTCAGCTGCCTCCCAGTAATTCACCCAGGTTGGATCCTTCTAAATATGGAACAAAGCAGACTTGTCTAGAGATAGCCAAGGTCATGCTCAAAACTGGGGGTGCTTTCTCTAATTTCATGCCAGAGGCATCTGCTCCCCTCTGGAGCGCCTCCCTGGAAATACACTCCTTTTTATCTCACTGATACTGTGGGTTCTGGAGCTGCTGAGTCTGGTCCGGTTCAGGCTCCTTTGGTTGAAGAGCTAGGGCGAGCCTGCCAAAGTGACCTCATCCTGTTGGCCCTGGGGGACTAGAACCTCAGAAAGAACAGGAGGAAGCAGCAGCCTGGGAAGTGTATGAGTCCTAGGCACTAAGGGAGGGCTGAGCTGAGGAGGCTGAGCTAGGAGGCTGGCCCTTCTCTCTGTACCTCCTCCACCCAGGCACAGAACCCCATCTCCCCTGTCACCAGCCCCCTCAGCTCTACCCTGGCTCAGATGCAGCCGAGAAAGTGATC